CCGACATATCCCCATATAGACTGAACATTATGTATTTAGAGATTTACTCTTAAACCCATTATGAGCCCAAATGATTATTATATTAGTTAATAACTCAATAAGCTCTACACATTGGCATTACTAAAAGTTACATAGCGTTTGATCAGTTGTAGGTGTTCCCTCGTTAGTCTAAGTTATTCGAATGACTGAAAATATCTGTGAATCGCTCGAAATAGAGTTACACTAATACTTCTAACTAACAAAATTCTCATGGATACTATGCTGTTGATTTCATTTTTGATCTTTAGTTTGACATAGATCGAACCAGAATGTTCGGATTAGGTTTAATATTGAGTAGCTCCATTTTTTAGCAGACGAATTCAACTCTATACTTTAAGATCGAGTCCGAATGACCAAAGAGATTATTTCCGGTAGAGATATGAATGAAGGTGTACGGAAAATCGACATCCCAAGTATACGCAAACATACTTCTAGTTATCAAAGATTTCCTAACATCACCTAATCAAACTGAAATAAGTTGGAACGTTTTGCACATGTGATGTTCTATCTTAGCGTCTGAATCCGATCTTAAGAGATGAAGTGTAAATCTAAACTAGAGCTTGGATTGGACACATGCTTTTGTTTAGTGAGGATAAAAACATTAAATACCATATGGTCAATTGATTTATTATTGACTGTGAGTGTAATGAAATCTGTGAATAAGATATTATCTTCTTACTATAGTTAAACTATCAATCAAGACGTATATGTATTTTTGGATAAAATTAATTATGAAAATTTCATATGAATTAAAGATAGTTGATTGTATATATTTATTTCTAGGTAGAAAAATTGACAGATTTTATTTTAAAATGTTATATTTATTCTAATGAACAATTATATTATTTAAAATGGCTTTTTAATAATTTAAATCATGTTAAAAAAGTTCAATTAAATGTACGAATAAATGATATGTATCAAAGAAATTCTCTAATTACTAATTATACTGATGTTGATGCAAATTTTATTGAAAAATATTTTATAAGTGATATAAAAATAAATTTAATTCATTTGAATTTTAATATTATTTCAAAATGTAAATATTCATTAAATAATAAAGAAAAAATCCTTAATTCATTTAAAATCAATTCATTTTTTGTTGAACATCAATGGACAAATGTTAATTATTTGTTTGATTCAATAAAATCTTATCAATATTTATCTTCTTCAAATGTAAAAATATCAAAATTTTTCTATGATTTAATGTAAAAAAAATTTTGTTTTTATCATTAAATCAATCTAAATTATTTTTCTAGAGAATATCCAGATATATTCGATTGGCCAAATATTAAATATATTGAAGTGATTTTTCATTCTCGTATTGATCGATTTCTGGAACAATTCGATCAATTTTTTCCAAATGTAACTTGTATAAAATTTTTTATGGGTATGTGCATCTAGATAAAATTTTATTATCAGTTGAAATTTATATAAATTTGTTTAAATAATGAATTTTTTTGAAACAGTTTATAGTGTTTATGTGACTGTAGTTTATCGTAAGATGATATCTATTGAAGAGATCAACTTGAAATTTTTCTTATAGATATTTGAAGGAATCATTTTGAACGACATAAGAATATCGATGTTATAATTATCATTGAGTTACAACTGTAATTATATCGATCTGCATTCATATATGAGTGAAGACCGCTCCAATTCTACCGTTTGGTTCCGAACACAAAAATACTTATAACTCGGATTCTACTCAACCAATTTTGATAATTTTTTTTGTTTGTTTTATAGATCTTAGAGATGCCCGTTCACTTCTGAAAATGATAAAGTTTGCAGCTCTCATAGCTCACGAGAAATCGTAAGAAGAATATAAAATATGTAGCTTTTAACGTCACCTCCCAGAATAAAATCTATTTGTTTTACTACACTTTAATTCTGTTTACAATTCTTTGATTAGCTAGTTTTCTAGCAGTCGACAAGCGCTTTCAGAATATATTAATACTTGTTGCTTTGGACAAGATTTTATAAATGAAAAGTTGTCGACAATGCCCGTTAAGACAATTCTAATTTTTTGTGTAGGGCGAGATTAAAATCGTTGTCATTAGTTTTGACGAGATCTTCTTTGAAAAAATTTCATTCAGTATCAAAGAGAAATTGGAGGAAAACATTTTGACAAGTGATAGAAGTTTGTTTGATAAAGTTCAGTAATTGAAAAGTTATGTAGAATGTATCGAAATAACGATGTTAACTCTAAGTGTAGAGCGAGATTTTCGATTTTGTTATTCCTATAACTCAATGAAAACTAAAGCTTTTGCCACAAAAATTTTTTATCCTTTTTTCAGCTCAAGGAGGTGATTAATGTCCAAAAAAAATCAAGTAAAAATCTTCTGTTCAAAAGAAAATCTAGTTTTACTAAGCAAAATGTAGAGCAAGATTTTCACGATAATTGATGTCGAGCGACATGAAAATCATGGAAATTTCATTAAAACAGATTTTCTTTCGACAAATGTCATTGAGCATCGAATAAAGTGGCAAGGGATAAAATTTAATAGATAAAATAATTTTAGTAGGAAAGTGTTTTATGGGAGCAGTGTATATACTCTATTTATAGGGAAAATCCATGTTATACATAGGAATTAGCTATAAAATAGTCAATCTCGACTATAGGACAAGGATGTGTCGGGAAAATATTATTTTTATACACATTCGACATAGCTCTATTAAATAGAATAGTTACCTTTCCTTTATCATGAAATTTATTTTTTTCGATTTTTCCACCCAAACGGTAGAATTGGCGCGCTCTTCACATATATCATTGTAGAATTGTAACATTTTGTTTGGATCTGTAAAAATCGACTGAATCTGATTATTGATTCGAATCAATCTAATAATAAAATCATTTTTCACCACTTATAAATGATGATTTTAACAATCACTTAACTATTATTTCATCAATGTTTTAGAAATTGAGAATTTATATTTATATTACTCTTCGAATATAAATATAAAATGTGTCTTCAACGTGAAGATTGAATGCATGAATTTGATTTGATCATTTATTCCTCTCGCTTTCGTTTAAAACATCTATATTCATATTTATTTTGATGAATAATTAAATATAATTGTTTGTTTATTGCATTTATCTTTTTTTTTTTTTTTTTATAGAATATGATGGAAGAATTCATCAAGCAGATATTACAATACCACCATTAGAAATGGAAGATTATCGATTAACTAATATTCGTTTACAAAATGTCACAAGATTTGATTTGGGAATTTTTCTATGTCGCCAATACCGTAAGTCCAAAAAATACCATTGTCAATTTTACTTACAGCGATATTTATAATCAATTATCTGTCAAGCTTTGTAAACTATTTGCAGGATAGTTTATTTTATTTATTAGCAAATTACCATTTCATATTTCTATGTAAAATAGAAAGAGAGATTTTATTTGATAAATGAACAATTGTACAACTGACGTGAATGGTAGTTATCATCCAGTATCGACAGATATTGATCTACATATATCTTCACATAGTAAATAACTCTAGAACACATATCAGAGTACGTCGAAATATACGAATAGTTATATTTTGATCAATCGAATTGAGTTGACTAATTGGAAATCGTGATTCATCAATGAAAGTTATTTAGATTGGAAACAAAAATGTGAGTAGAAATGAATATGAAAAATTAAAATTAGTGATGAAGGAGATTTTTCTTACATCGCCTTCATTATCTGCAGTTATATCTTTCAATATTCATGTTCTTTCTCTTGTTCACATTCATATATCTGTTATATTTATTTTTCGATCGACTGTGGAGATAGGAAAAATAGTTTTACATCAGTAAATTAGGATCAGAATTCTGCATTATTTTAGAATCTACATAGATTTTGCCTGTTTAGAAGTTTCGTATGTAAATATTTAAAAGGCAAGTCATAATTCATATTAGCCGCCATGGTTGAATGGTTACGTGTTCGACACGTAGCTACAAGGTACTGTGTTCAAACCTCAGTAATATCATCCATGGAACGACCCTGGACAAGTCACTAACGGCTAAGCTGTCTATAATATGACTCACCCCACATAAGTCATTCGTACTGACTACATGTTTAGTCAGTATGTTGGACGGAAGAGGGCGCAGATACCGCTGTCCGTAAAAAGAAAAGGCGAAAGAACCCGGCTGCATGTGGAAATTACTAATAATAACTGCAGCTGGCCCCTACGGGTGATAAGCCAATGGGACGTTATTATTATTATAATTCATATTGTATAATGTATTTGATTTATTTTTATAAAAATATATCGTCAAAAAGTTTGATTTTTTCCTTGAAAAATTTTCTTTTTAACAGAAGATGATAGATCTATCAATGAAATAAAAGAACGTGCAAGAACACTTGCTCAAATTATTTCAATGCCAATTCAACTTAAATATCTTCGAATCTCAACATTTATATGGCTTCTTCAAATTATTGAATATGTAAGAAAATATTTTATTGTCAGATTAATAATTCACACAATCTCATCCTTGCTCGATATATTGTGAACTAATTGACACATAGATGAAGTACTTTTCACCGAAATACTTTTTAATAAATGTTGAAAAATATCGAATTTGTTAAAATTTGAGAGAGTAAACGAAAAAAAATTAATCTTTTGTCTTGTTAGAAGTTAGAAAAAAAAATCGATTTAGAGAGAAATTCATTCGACTAAATTGTATTAGAAAAGTAGGCATTCAATATTTTTTCTATTCTAGAAGACAATCTTCATAACTAAATATTTTTTATTTATTTTTAGGCATCTAATGAATTGAGACAAGATGCGTTAAATACTGTTAGATATGCAGAATTCTCTCTTCCTAGTTGTCATCGTGGCTCAAATCAATCGATTCATATTGGCAAATCTCTTGTACCTTTTCTTAAGACTTATATGCCTCATCTTCAAACATTACATCTTTGGAAACTAGATGATTTTCCTTGGACATCAAGTAAGAATATTTCAGATTCACATTCAATACTGAGACCATTTTACTTATTCAGAACACTCAGTAATGCTTATCAATTGTACTCATTCGGCGTCTCGAATATCAAACGTACAAGTGCACATAGTATTAGGCAAAGCACTTATACATATGAATTGACAATGCTACTTGCTGTCTTTACCATGCCTATTCAAGATTTAGTCATAGAGTTAGAAAAAAAACATGAGATTAATTATCTGTTATGTGGAATTAGTTACTCATGTTTTCATTTGACAGTCGATGGCGGCGGTTTCAATCGGAGTAGATCAGATTCAACTAACCCTCCCCAGAATAGACGGCCACCCTATATTAGAAGGCTACTCCCTCTATAAGGCCATGTTCGAATAAAAGTTCAAACGCCTCATTAGAAGGTCATGTAATAATTAATTAATATATTACAAAAATATTAAATTTTTAATAAATTTCAATTAATAATCATACGAAATAACCAATTTTCTAATGTTTTTTTTTACAAAAAATGGCGATTTTTTTCGTAAAAAGCGCCTGAAAATGGTAAAAAAGGTTATTAACCGTTTAAGTACGATGACTCTGTCTGTGAGAGAAATTTCTATAAGTTGTCAGATTTGAGACACTCATAGCGCAATATTAATATTTTCATCGAAATTTTTAAAAAATCTTTACTGTTATTTTTGACTTATATCTGTACTTTCCCACGGGAATGGCGAAATGTTTTGGCCATCTCTATAAGGGAGTACGGATGTGGGTCAAATTCGATTGAGAACTGTCCCAAAATCAACCTTTGGAATATCACTAAGAGTCACTCCTAACTGAATTCCAACACGGAAAATCAATATATTCTGTGAATAATAAAAGGGCATTATCCACCCTGCTCCTATTTAGAATATAGGTGGTTTTCCACAAACTCATCAAGTTTACTACCTGACTGACCTCATTTGGGTTATGAGTCTTATATAAATGTTTGTACCGAAATCTCTTCTATGTCATAGAGAAAGCCGCACTGCGATATCATTTTGCATTTGTGAATTATTGAAAAATAAAGATACTAAAAGCGCGTCCTTTATTTAGAACACTGGGCCTTAAAGGGTTAGAATACGTATATTCATACGTATACAGTACAAATTATGATAGTTTACTACTAGCTACATCAGTTCCATCCAGCTACAGCTATCTATTGTTTGGCCGAGACTAATTTCATTCAGTTATAACTATATCCTGAGTTTTAGTATAATTTCAAAATGATGTATTGGTGGTCTACTAGAAACTCATCAGACTAACTACCTGATGGTCTTTATTAGTGTTATGATTTTTACTTGGATATATATATATTGAAGTGTCTTCTATGTCATGGCGAAAGCCGCACCTCGATATCGTTTCATATTCACGCGTTATTCAAAAATTAAGATGCTTACAAAAGTGTCCTGAATTCAGGACGTTGGTACTTAAAGGGTTAATTAATTATTAATTTTGAAATTTTTTTTAATTAATAATTGGCTAAAACTTGACCCTCAGTAGAAGGCCACCTAAAAAGAAGCGATGTGCCGAGACACTTTATAAGGCCATGGCCTTTTATTCTAGGGGGGGGGGGGGGGGGGAAGGGGAGCGTTTAATCAATTAATTGATAAGTGATCAGTCTATCAACGACTGATCGTTGTACGTAAAGTAGTCAGTCACTGATCTTGAACTTCGTTCGAGCTAACTACTTCACAGTGCTAATACCATCTATAAATAATGTTAAAATAAATTTACATGATTTTATCTTTTTCTTTCTACAAGTTCGACCAGATTTTGAACGACGCCATCATCGTACTTTGGCTCGACGATGGGCAAAATCGTTAAAAACATCGAAATCTATTAGTAAGTCAATAGAATTGATTTATAAGAAAAGAAACAAACATGATTTTTTTATTTAGATAAACATGTGATTGTTTTTGAACAAGATCTTTCTCAATTAGTCAAACAATTGACAGAATTTGTTTTTCTTGATATTCATGGTAATATTCCTTATGAAAAAGTCGAGCCTTATCGATCTATGGTCGAAAAAATTTTTCCCAATCGTCAACTTCATATTGATATAGCAAGATTTCGTCTATGGATATGATTTATCGATCAATTGTATCTTGATAAATAAATTGTTAAACTTGTTGTTTGTTAAATATTTCACAAAATAAAACAATCATAAAATATCGAGGTATGTTCAGATTTCCGAAAAAGGAAATTACAGAAATTTCCGAAGCTTCCATCAACTCGATAACTACATAGCAGAGCACATGAAAATCTTTTGGAAATATTAGAAATTTTAGAAGTTTTAGAAATTTCTGTAATTTCGGAAATTTCGCTACGTATAGAATTTTGGAAATTTCAGAAATTTCGGAAATTATATAATTTTGGGAAATACCAAACAATTTAAAACACAAGTGCTTGAAATTTCCGAAACTTCCAAAATTTCCTTTTTCGGAAGTCTGAACACTGCTGCCCATCACCCACCCCAAGCATTATTAAATCGATTCATTGCTTCAGATTTTTTTCAAAATATTCTTTGTGTAATGAAAAGAGTTTTCTTAAATTCGAGTTCAAGTAAACAACAACAGCGAAAACATTTTCGTTCTTTTTCTTTTTCTTTTTGAAGAAATCAAATCTTCTAAAATATCTAATTATGTAGACGCATTATTCATTTGACACTATTCTTACTTATTCATAGGGTCATCTGCATTATCATTGATGAGACGAGTATTTTAGTCATATCCTATTCTTAATAAATACTCCACTATTTCATTGCTGTTATTTTTGATTGTTTTGAATAGATCACGACTATCACCAATGATTGCTTCCGTTTGTTCTAACAAATATTTGACAACATGCAAATGTTTTCTTGAAATAGCAGCTCGAAGAGATATTCAATATCTTGCATCAGAAGTATTCACATCGGCATGACGAATTTCGATCAGAGTGCGTACAACATTAGGATGTCCATAATAACATGCAAGCTATAGTGCAGTTCTATCAGTTTCAATGAAACAGTATGCCACAGTCACAATAGACTTGGTTCTACAAAAGACAATTATTGTCGCCATTGTATTGCTCATAATCTTCGAACTTACGATTAACATCAGTGCCAAAACGTTCATCAAACAAAAAAAACACGAACACATTCATCATGTCCGTCCTCAGTGGCACACATGAGTGGTGTTATGAATGAACAAGACTGGCTATACAAACAAAATGACACAAGATATTTCTTAGCCATTATTTCAAGTAGTTCTCGTCCCTGTAAAAAGTAGATGATCAGATTTTGAATTATAGTTTACTGGACAAAAATCTCATGCAATTCATCATAACCTACTGTGAACAATCCTATTTTAGATTCTTTATGTTTCATAATTTTAAAGTTACACGTCAAGTTTCTTTAATTTAGGCAAAATGTTTTCGTACATCAGACCATTCGTCGAAAAATATTCTTTCTGAGAAGAAAAATAATTGAAACAATCTCGAATATTACAATTCAGTCAAAGCTGCTTTACCTGTTGTGATATTTGAACGAATTTATATAGTTATCCATTGGATCGCAAATCATGTAAAATAAAAAATTAAATAATATGTCGATATTATTCTTTCGAATCGCATTGCGTAGTTTATAGACAAAATATTCGCCATGATTATAGAAGAATTTTTCAAAAGATTCCAATACATTATGATCATAAGCCTCCACAACACAATCTTTACCATAAAACCATTTTCTAGTAGAAATCTTATGAGTTTTCTTAGGTATGGTTAACAAATGGTTTCGTTAGATATTCGATTGTTTCACCAAGTAATGCTGTCGTTTATTGATTGAAATCTTATGCTTGCGTATTTGACATCAATTATCATTATTATAGCAATCATGTCCGACATGGTTTATGTTATTTCATTGCATGTTTACTAACAAATGCTGAGAGAACATTCATATTTATAAATGTGCTATTTCGAAGTGATTGCGCAACAAAACGAAACCAACTATTTGTACAAAACGATATTTGAATCAGTGCTTTAACGAATTCCCATGAGTCTGACGTATGCTAAACGAAAAAACTCACACTTGTTATTCTCGTTTCCTTCAATATCGTCATCTGAAATGAATTTGATGCAATACGTCATCATCGTGTGAGAACGACGAGTATTATGCAATATTAAATACCTTAAAAAGTAGCGTTTATAACAATAACGAGTAATCAATGGATCTATTATTGAATATGGCATCAAAACGGGAGTGAAAATTGATGAACTATCATATTGTTTAAAAATTGAAATGTTATCAATATCAAGGAATTCTTATGAACGTTGCTTCATAGTTTATTATAACTAATCAAAAGCTATAAAAATAAAAACTATGCTATGCTTCTAGAATTTATTAAAAGTATGATATTATCATTAGGAATACCTTTTCTTACAATGATCGATCAAAATACATTTGTTTTATACTATTCTATCTTTAAATAAATCAATCATGTCTACATACATGATATAATATTACATTTTTATGATTCATCAAAAAAAATTTATCAAAGTTAAGTGGAATGCACATAAACAGATCTCTAGCATGATTGATATCAATCATAATAATTTAGATCACGCCTACCAACAGCCATGAAGACACGGTCGGAATGGTTACCAAGAGATGAGTATCATTAAGTGCAGATAATATCCCTTTACCTCTGTAAATATCATAACTAGCAACATCAATTCCATTATTCTCAAAGTTTCATTGAATAAAAACTGTTTCGTCGTGTCTTGGAGACACAAAGAATGTCGCATTCTTCATAAAATCTACTTGTTCAACGGAAATATTAGTCATTAAACCGTTTCTCATAGAATTATACATCCTGACTATAATTTTAGCAAATATTGCATAACTATGAACAGACCTCTTCATATGAGCATAACGCCATGTTAAGTTGGCTGAAAGAGATTTCATATATTCATTTCAAATTCTATAGTTTGAACTATCATAGAATTCTAATCAGACACTTTCAGAACCATAGATTATCCATGTTCTAGGCCAGAAAGTCATCACCAGAAGGCTTTTGTTTGTGTGAGTGTGGATGGGTCTGGATCTTCTTTCCACCCACATTTGTGCTTGATCACACTCGTTTTTGCACGAACTAGAACGAAATTTTTAGACGTGCTCTGTACAAGGTCTGGCGGTGAGGCTGTGGGTGTGGGTATGAGTCAATGAGAAGAGGAACACCCACATTCGCATCCACACCCACACTCGCATCCACACCCACACCAACACTCCACACCCATACCCACACCCGCACCAACACTCCACACTCCACACCCATACCCACACCCCACATCTACACGCACCCACCCACACCCACACCCACCCGCACCCCCACCCCACACCCACACCTCACACTTACACTCACACCTACACTCACACCCACACCCACACCCCACACCCACACACCCACACACACACGCACCCGCACCCACACCCACACACACCCACACCCTATTTTACTGTTGTATAATCTATTAATGATAACCATCTGTCTATGATAAACTTTGACTAAGATTTTAAAGTGAATTTTCGCGACGACTGTGATCTGATTCATAGTAAGATAACCTACTATTATTACAGGAATCAGTTATTACCTCAAAAAACATTATAAATCTGTAGGACTAAATTAAATATAACTTTTTGTTAGACGACACCTCTCTCATTCAATTTTACACATGTTGTCTCGATCGTTTTTATACAATAAAGTTGCGTGTGGGTGTGGATGCAGAAAATATCGACATCCACACTCTCACACCCATACTCGAAGCCATCCACACCCACACCCACACACGCTGTACATCCAAGAAATAGTGTTTACAACGAAAGTAAACAGATCGATTGAGTCCACCTGCCACAATCCATGAAGAAATCTCTCGCATATCCACTGCCCATGTGGATTGAGCGTGAACAATACATGAAAAATGAATCCATGTTGCAAGATCTTCGATGAATTGTTGCAAAGCCAATTGCAGGTGATCGACAGTCAAATCCAATGTATCCTCTGTGGGTATGGGTGTGGGATGTGGGATGTGAGGTGTGGGCATCGGTGTGGGTGTGATTCTTCGCCTATTCTACACACTCACCCACACCCACACCCACGCCCCACTCCCACCCACACCTCCAGCCAGCCATACCCACCCACACCCACGCTCACACCCACACCCACACCCACGCTCACACCTACACCCACGCTCACACCCACACTCACACCCACACCCGCACCCGCACCCACCCCACGTACACCCCCATCCTATGTTGAAAATTATTAATTCTCACACTGTCTTGCTGAAAACTTGTTGCAATTTCATATCAATGAAAGTTTCATCTCTTCGCCTAATACTGAAGAAAGTCTATCATTATCGCTCATTATTTGTTGTTCAACGGTGCCAACAGTTTCACATCATACACAAATGAGTATCGATGCGTGCAGTTCATTTGAACTGTTTTCGTTTTACCAAAATTTTTTTTCTTTGTTTGCCGTCGTTATTTGTCTGCTCTCCATATTGTGTATTTTACGTTGTCATGAACAGTACTTCTCAAGAAAGCACTTTATTGTGAGAAATCTTAAAAAAATGAAAAAAAAAGAAAGAGAAAAGAAAAATAAGTAAAGCCTTTATATATTACACAAGTAACACAAGAGTTCCTCGAGAAACAAACAACACATTTTGCATATAGAACATTCAACCAAGTTGAAAACTATTACTAGCGGAGTTCTCTGATAAATTTTATTTTGATTTTTGTATCATGGTAAGCAACTTACGAATGTGATTCCTAAGCAAATTTTCGAGTTTTTTAAATGTCATAAGGATAACAGATGAATGGCTGGAATATTAACTCCAAAGAATCGAAACAGATATGATATGGGAATTAATCACAGACTTTCGTTTATCTGGACAACTGATGATTTTTTTCTTAGTCACAGGTCTATCCAGTGTATTTACCTGTATGTTTCGTACACAATCTCATTGATTAAATGATTCTTTCTTGTAATATTTTGTCTACAATTTACATGATTAGCTTTCTCATTCGCGTCGTATTCTATCCATATTCTTTTC